CTCACTTAACAACTGCCTTGCTTAGCAATGTACATTCTGGGGTCAATTGTTGTCATAGGTTGAGGACTACCTGTACTTGATAAGAATAGTTGCCCATTCTTAACCACAGGGATGCCAAAATGAGCTATGTGATGCTGCAATGCAAGGCTCACTCTTTCTTTATTCATCCTAACATTATGCACAAAAACATGAGGGGCCGCATCAGAACGTATGTTTCATCGCTTGGGTTGTGAAGGACTCCAGCCTGCCTTTTCACCCAGCAAGCTCACCCGCAGATCTGCCCACAACGAAGCAACCTAGAACTAAGGAGAAACTTCCTGACAGTTAGAACAATTAACCAGTGGAACAACCTGCCTCCAGAAGCGGTGAATGCTCCAACACTGGAAGTTTTTAAGAAGAGACTGGACGGCCATTTGTCCAAAATGGTATAGGGTTTCCTGCCTGAGCAGGGGGTTGGACTAGATGACCTCCAAGGTCCCTTCCAACTTTACCATTATTATTATTATTATCGATCATCGCACAGTCAGCCAGATGTTCAGACTGGATTTGGCATTTTGTCTACCTATCGAGTCCTTACCAGGACCTGGGATAGGCAGATGTGGATGTTTGATGGTATTACAGATATCGTCGCAGGATGGAAGCAGTTCCTAATAAGGCCGCCTTTTGCAATTGACTAATAGCAAATTTGTCAATGCCCATGGTGTTCAAGTGGTGCTCCAGTTGTTTTGGGATTGCACCCAAGGAGCCTATTACTATTGGTACTACCCTTTCTTGCTTTTGCCACAGTCTTTCTATTTCTATTTGTAGGTCTTTGTATTTTGTTATCTTCTCCAGTTCTTTCTCGTCTATTCGGCTGTCTCCAGGCACTGCCACGTCCACTATCCAGACTTTTTTGTCTTTCTTATCGACAATTGTTAAGTCTGGGGTGTTATGTTGCAGTGCTTGTCTGTTTGAATTCTGAAGTCCCAGAGCAGTTTAATTTTATCATTTTCTATGACTTTCTCTATTTTATGATCCCACCAGTTTTTGCTTACAGGCAAATGATATTTTTTGCAGATCTTCCAATGCGCCATTGTTGCTACTTTGTCATGCCGCTGCTTGTAGTCAATCTATGCAATCTTCTTGCAACAGCTTACCAGGTGGTCCACTGTTTCTTCAGCTTCTTTGCATAGGCAGCACTTACTGTCTGTTGCTGTCTTCCCAGTTTTGACTTTATATGCATTTGTCCTTAAGGCTTGGTCTTGATGATGATGATGATTACTACTACTACTACTACTACTACTACTACTACTACTACTACTGCTACAATAAGAAACTGGTTCCTTAGTACAGAGTTTCTCACAAAGTACTAACATGTTTGTTCCCGAGCTTATTTGGGCTGCTGCTGGAGGATGCAAGTGTGTATTTAACATTCTGGCAGATGGTGAGAGAAGGGCAAGGTGGAGTAAGGCTTCTGTTCTTGGAAAGATACAGAATGGTACAAAGCCAAGGGATTGATGCATAGTGTTAATGCAAGAATGGGCCACATGGTTTGTTAGTCTGCAGAGCCCTCCCCAAAATTCAGCAATGTCAGAACCCAAAATCACTGCCCCTGTTTCCTACCTTTTGGGAGTTGAAATGATGAAAGCAGCAGCAGCATCAAAAAAAAAAAAAAAAAAAAAAACTTAAAACAAAGTAAAACATCGAATCCTAAACCCCTGGAATCGGAAAATAAATGGGAAGGCCAGAACAACTCATATACGTTTGCCATTTTGCACCATAGTCCTTTTTACTGCACTTTTTGCATTCAGGACTGAGCTAGTTTGCCAATCTGATTCTAGCAGATCAAATGAAAAGAATGCTGATTTTCAGGGTCTGATCTGAAAACCTTTCCACAGCAGAAAACCAGGCCCTTGAGCTGGCTTCATTCTACTTTGTCTTGACTTTCAGTGCCATCCTAAATGTTTTGCAACTGACAAATCAGGTGACTCTGTTTGGTGAAAGGAAGAGCATGTCATGCAAACAGCAAAATTCCATGGGCACGAAGTTAGGGAGGATTTCTTTTAGCCCCCAAACATTATTTGGGGCTAAACAAACCATTCTCAGTCAACTGTGAGCAGGAACCAAAAGGATTGCGGGCAGGGGACATTTAATCCTGCTGCCTGCACAGAGGAAAAGTGTTTCTCTGCAAAAGAGCCCTAAAACATCCTGCTGAATTCTTCTTAACGTTACTCTCCTGCTGAAGGAAAAAGGGTGGGAGAGAAGAAAATGGCTTGTTGGGATGCTGGGTCCCTTGGCACCAAAAGTCCTATTCTCCCCTCATGAAGTGGCAGTTGAAGAACCAATTTTCTCTACTTCCCCTCCCACAGGGTTCAGGGTTAAAAGGTGCACCCATGTGGTGAAGTTGAATGCAGCTTCATAGTGATGCTGATGGCACACATCACTCTTCTGCCAGTGGCACGGTTGGGTCTTTTGCCAGCAGGCCCATCGTGTATTCATAAATAACTTTTCTATGGGGTTAGAGTATTGGTGCATTTGCCCAATAAGGTTTAATGTCTCAGCTGCAAGACAGACATGTCAGTAATCTACTAGACCAGTGATGGTGAACCTTTTTGAGACCGAGTGCCCAAACTGCAACCCAAAACCCACTTATTTATCACAAAGTGCCAGGGCTGCATCAGCATTGTGGTGCCCTCGGGGGGTGGGTCTTGGCCCACTGGGTGGGCGTGGCTGCAATGGTCACGGCAGACTGGGTGAGCGTGGCATCCCCAGGGGGCCAATGCCGCTTGCTCACTCACTTCCTGCCCTGTCGCTTCCAAACGCCACGTGCTTATTACTCTGGCAAACTCTGCTGGGGCAACGGCGTGCATGCCCACAGAGAGGGCTCTGAGTGCCACCTCTGGCACATGTGCCATAGGTTCACCACCATTGTACTAGACCAGGGGTAGGCAACCCAAAACACTCAAAGAGCCACTTGAACCCGTTTCCCACCAAAAACAAAACACCGGGAGCCGCAAAACCCTTTTGATATCTAAAATGAAGATAACACTGCATATATCCTTTTTTATCTTTATTATAGGTGTGTGTGTGTGTGTGTGTGTGTGTGAGAGAGAGAGAGAGAGAGAGAGAGAGAGAGAGAGTGTTTGTGTATGTGTATGTTATACACACACACACACACACACACACACACACATTAAAAATAAAAGTAAAAATATGACTCTTGGGAATATCCATACTATTAAAACAATGATCACCGAGAGAATGCTTTAAGAGAATAAAATTACATACACACACAGGTAAAAAAAGGATATATGCAGTGTTATCTTCATTTTAGATGTCAAAAGGGTCTCTCTCTCTCTCTCCCTCCCTCCCTCTCTGCCCTTGGTCTGCCACTCCTCTTCCCCCACTCTCTTTCTTTCTCTCTCTTTCCTCTCTCTCTCCCCCTCCCTCTCTCTCTCTCTTCTCTCTCTCTCTCCCCCCCCATCTGCTGCTCACCTGGCAAGCTTCAAGTTGTTCTCCAACAATCTCAGGGATAGGCAACCTCGTCTCTTTTATGACTCATGGACTTCAACTCCCAGAATTCCTGAGTCAGCCTAGCTGGGCTAGCTAGCTCTCTCCTGCCCTTCCTGCTTCCTGCAGAGACGCAGCAAAGGGAGGAGCTCCGCCCAGAAAGCTTTTCAGCTCCTCAGAGAACAATGTGAGTGCACTCTCTTTTACACATATACACACACACACACACACACACAAAACACACACACATACACACACACACACAGAGAGAGAGAGAGAGAAGCAGGGAAGCGCAATTGCCTCTCTCTGTCTCTGTCTCTCTCTGCAAATGGCAGAGGAGGCTGGGAGCCACAGGGGAAGGCTCAAAGAGCCGCATGCGGCTCCGGAGCCGCAGGTTGCCGACCTGTGTACTAGACAATCTTTGGACCCATGTGAAGAACATCCCTCTGTGGTCTCAGCATTGTTATCATCTGAGATATGGCAGATGCTGGGCTGCACCCCTGGGGTAATATGGACCTTCCATGAAAGGAAGTGGGTGTTTTATGGAGCCAGGAGTACTGTCATTCCCAATACTCCTCCATCTCTCTCCCTTTGTTGTTCCTGCCAACTATGGGGTGGAAAGAAAAGTGGGACTGCTTAGCTGGGTTGAGAAAGAACTCTCCTACTATAAGAAGGTGAATGGTCCTGAAATGGATGGTGAGGGGCCAGAGAGGAGATCGAATCCTCAGGTGACCTATAGGAAGAAGCAGCAATGAAGAAATGACTGCTTTGAAGGCACTGGTAGAAGAGGTGCATGTCCTTGCTTTAATACATTGTAGGGCATCTCTGTGTTGGGGCAAACAATTATGTGGACAAGATGAAAATCCTACAGTTGCCATGCATAAATGTGATTTCTCCTAATATCTCCCCATTGTCCTTACTGTGATTCACTGAGTCTAACAATCCTTCCTTCCTTCCTTCCAACAGGATAGGAAGTGACTTTGCTGCAGCTTTGAGACTACCACAGAGGACATGGCATCTCTGATCTTCCACTCCTGAGATTAGAATATAAATAGCCCTGTGGGAATAGGGGACTGGCTCAACCACTTCAGCCAGGGTGTTGTCTGCATGAGAGGAATATTTTCAGCATTCAGGCTGATTGATTAATGATGAGTGGCATATCTATGCTATCCTTTTTCCGTTAGATATATATCCATCTGTCATGTCAATGTCATCCTGCTTGGGAATTACAATCCAAGACTGGCCATATGAATGCACTCCCTAGAGATTTGGGCAGAAGAAGTAGTAGAGTTTACTCATACTGGCCCTGCAGTGGCAACATGACAGCTTAAGAGGAGGGCATGTTTGGAGATGCGGAAAAGGTATAAATCATGGCCTGGGTACAAGACAAGGCTGGTATCCTGGGATCAGGGAGAAAAATAGGGGTCAGCCAGGTCACCCCAGTGGTGTTATAAATCAGTAATGAAGAAAACTCTGAAATGGAGCATCTCTTTTCCTAGTAGAAAGAAAATGAAAGCAAATGCCAATAGAAAAGAAGTCAAAACCCTCCAAACACAGAGACAAATAGATGGAAAGAATCTGAGAGAAAATTGAAGACCAAGAAAGCTCCACCCAATCAAACAAGTTAAAACAATCCTGACCCCAACAGGGTCAGTAGTGTCAGAAGTAAGTCTTCATTCTGGTTCATCCAAGCTGGGAATAAATAAGCAACATAGCGACTGCTTTGGGAAGAAGGTTACAGTTTATTGAAGAAGCAGAAAGATGGTCCTTGCAGGAAAGAGCAGAGGAGAGGAAAGAGAAGTTGAGCACATGGGCAGTAGGTTTTTATACCCTCTCTAGCCTTGTTTGGAATAGTTTCCTGTTCCTGTGGCATGAACCTTGAGGCTGTTTCTGAGTGTTTGTCTAGGCCTTGATCTCTGTGGTTTAATCCTATTATCATATCCTGCTTCCCAGGTGATGAGGCTAATGACTCCTAGAGTTTGGGTGTGGTATGCAGATCTTCTCTTTGTCTTCTTGAGTGCTCTGGCTTCAATTCTCTGATGGTTTTACATCTGCATTTGTATGGGCCTAGCTCTTGCTTGGGGCAGAGAGATAGATTTGGGGCCAGGTTTGGTTTTAAAAAGTCCTTTTGAGGAAAAATATATTTTTCTGCCCTTTTAATATTTCCTTCTCTGGGCTAACTTCTCTCAGTAGGTACAGAATGTTGAGGATCAGAACTAAATTCTAGAAAAGGGGGGTCATGAGGGGGCAGTGGTGGGATTCAGCCAGTTCGCACCACTTCGCCAGAAACGGTAGCTAATTTTTTGTTGCCCAGGCCCAGAATGGACTTCCAGAAGTGGCATCCACACAGAGAACTCATAATTCACCTATTTGAATCCCACCACTGTGAGGGGGATGCAGTAATTTTTAACTTCCAACATCCTGGCACTCTTTGAGTGGCAGCATGTATCTTGGAAACAAAGCGCAGCCAGGCTAGTGCTGGAGGGGAATGGGAATGGATGAGAACTGCCTAAGAATTGGGAGCCGGGGGCAGTGAGGCTAGATTAGGAAGTTGAAAAATATTGGAAAAAGGCAGAAGCAATCCATACAGTACTTTTGCCCAGTAAATTGTATTGTGATGCCTCTGAAGTCAGTAGGGGTCTAGCTTTTATTGAAGGATATCTTTTTAAAAAGTATCCTACAAAAGGATGCAGCTGAATGGCAGCTCTTCTACAAGGATGTGCAGGGCAGGGCAGGGTATAGCAATTCCTGGATCCCAGTCCCCCCTCCCTCCCTCCCTCCCTCTGGGACTGCCCGCTTAGGCCTTTTCTTCTCACTTTTGCACACAAAAACATGACCTTCTGGCTCTTTTTATCTGCTTGCTCCTTCAGGGATGCTTGGAAACTCATTCACACCTGTCTCTGAAAAGCTTGGGAGGAAGTCAATGCTTCTGGCTTCGGCTATTAAGAAAAGTCCCTTGACTGAAAAACAAGCACGCTCTCCTGCCCCCTGCTGGTGAAAGGTAAGCAACTGGTATCCCTGCCCACTCCCTTCTTGACACCCTGACCTCCTTGCATTGAGACAAAACACGGGGCTGCCTCACCTGGCCTGGGGAAGGAAGAATGCTCACATTCCCATTGCCAGAAACTGATCCAGGAAGAACAGGGGCACCCCTTCAGCATCAAGCAAGAGAACTGGGAGCCCCATATGCATTAGTGCCGTGGTGGCAAACCCACGGCGCGGGTGCCGTGGTGGCAAACCCACGGCACGGGTGCCACAGGTGGCACACAGAGCCCTCTCTGTGGGCACGAGCGCCGTTGCCCCAGTCCTAGACCTTCAGCTGGGTTTTATAAAACCTTTTCACTTTAGGTCTCCAACGCCGTGTGCAAAAAAAAAAAAAAGTTCAATCAATCAATCAATCAATTTCAACTTCTTGCTGGAAAAAAAAAAGATCTCGCAAAGTCGGAATTGTTTGATTGAACTTTTTAGTCTCACCCAGTCTGCCATTACCACTGCAGCCATGCCCATCCAATGCGCCACACCCACCTGGCACACGACGATACATAAGTGGGTTTTGGGTTGCAGTTTGGGCACTCGATCTCTAAAAGGTTCACCATCACTGCATTAGTGGGTTGCAAAAATGAAGGCCTTACACCAGGGGTGACAAACTGCCGGTCCGCAGGCCAGATGCATCATCCGGAAGCCACGCCCACCCCATTGCCGGCAATGGCAAAACTGGCCCGATACGTTGCAATGTCATGTGACGTTGCAAGTTTGACATGTCTGCCTTACACAAGGGTCACCGTGGTCTTTCAATGAACAGATTATTGCGAGACTATTGATTCATGACCATGTGACTCTCTCTCTCTCTCTCTCTCTCTCTCTCTCTCCCTCCCTCCCTTTGTTTATATTCCAGTGCTTATGTCCAGCGATTGTGTTCGCATAAGTGATTAAGCTACAAGAACAGCCAACTACATTTTAGTTTAACGCCAACCCAATCCATGTGGTTAGTTTATGATTCAGCATGTTGTGCAAACCCAGAAAATCTCATTAATTCCCTACAATTATAATTAAGTTACCCCTGGGTAACAGAGCACTGCCATAGCCATCACTGTGGATTCCTTCTGATGCTCAAACTGTTTTCCAAAAATCTTAGCATCTGAGCAACTGTTACTGTGCATGGGATCTCAATTTCCCAAGCTTCTCCCATATGTAAATTTTTAGCGGAGCACAAGAATAACTGGTGGAGTGCCTCGTCCCACCACTCAGAAGCAGCATTTAGGGCCAAGGTGCCACTACCTGGAGTGGTTTAGGATTACTAGGAGACAGTGGACTCAGCATCAGCAAACATGGAAGCTCTTGAGAAGGTTGGAATCACAGCAAAGATTTGTCAGTCCAACACCACAAGGAAGAAGGGGCAGGAAAAAGACACCCAAGGAGAATGGATGAGCCAGAGCTATGTGTGGCAGTAAAAAAAAAAGAGAGAGAACCCAAGACTGATGGGAGACTCAAGGTTTCTGGAGGATATCAAGCCTGCAAAGAAGCATGCTTGGGCTTCAAGCTACAGAGTAAGCCAAGGTCAAGACTGGGCTGCCCTTAGACATGTGCTGTAGATAGCCAGAAAGGGTCAAGGAAGTGCCAATCCTGCCCTCGGTGTGCACCTGAGGAGCAATTGGATGTCACAGCCCTTTCCTGGTACTCTTTTTTTTTTTTTAATTGAAAATTTTTAAAAGTTTTTACAAAAAACAAAAAAGACAACAACAACAAAAAACAAAACAACCCTCACCCAACCCCTCCCAAACCACCCCCTCCATCCCCCCCGAGCTTCCCAGAGCTGAATATAGGCTTAATTAAAATTTTAAAAATCCTAAAAAAAAAGTTAAACAACTTATAAAATAATTAACAATAAGATATATATAAAACAAAAAAAAACATAAGCATTAAAAAGAAAAAGTGCTTAGAAAAGAAGAAAAAAGAAAGAAGAAAAGAGATTAAAAAAAGAAGAAAGAGAAAAAGTACAATCTATAAAATATCAAAGTTTATATACAAGTTATAAAAAGGCTAAATGGTATTTTTTTATATCCAATTTGTATTGTGTGAAATTTATCCATTTTTCCCATACAGCAAAAAATTTCTCTTGCGATTGCTCCTTTAAGAAAGCCGAAATCTTTGCCATTTCCGCCAGATAGGAAACTTTAAAAAGCCACTCTTGCAAGGTAGGCAAAGATTCCTTCTTCCAATATTGCCCTACTAACAGCCTTGCGGCTGTAATCAAATTCAACATCAATATAACCTCCTTAGCATCACAATCAGTAACAATACCTAACAAAAACAATTGTGGAGTGCTGGTACTCTTGACAATTCACAGGAGCTCTGATGGAAAAAGCTGCCTATGCGGAAAGCAGAAAATTCAAGCTTGGCCAGCTCCAGCAGAATGAATCCTGCCAGGCTAACCGACAATTCTGCTGGGAAGCCTGAGCAGTCCACACATACTTTTTTCTTCCTGCATCAGGTCAGGCAAGTCTTTTCTATTCTAAATCAAACCTTTCTTTCATAAAAGACACAGTGCTCATTTTGGACTGAGCGTGAAGGCAAGGAATCCAGCGCTTACTAAGTAGAGAACAGAGTTGCCTCTGAGCTATTCCATGTTTGTCTGCATCCCTGCTAGAAGAGGGCTAATAAATGTAATGGTCTCCTGGGTATCCTGGAGTAAAAAATGTTTTCTTTTACCGTATCTTCCTCAGGTATTTTTTCCCAATATATATATATGTGTGTGTGTGTGTGTGTGTGTGTGTGCCTTGTCCCTGTATCTACCATTCCCCTGTCCTCTTTTACTGTTTATCCACATTGCATCTGTACATTTAGGTTTTCACACACACACACACACACACACACACACACACACACACACACACATCATTGTGGTTAAGTTTTATTTGGTGGATTTCAGCTCAGTTCTCCACTTCATCAAGTGCATTCATTCTGTGTGAATCCACCCACATATTTGCAACCTTTCCAGTTTTGTATCTTTTGCTGGCTAGATAAATTGTCTCCCCTTTATAATCCAGGCTATAGCGGGGATGCCACGGATTGATTGACCTGAGCCAAAGTAGCCCTAGGTTTGTGCGGTTTGAATCAACTCCTATTTGGATGAAAAGAAAAAGAGCAGCTTCTGCTAATTTATGAACCATTCAAAGGATGGGATACTTTCACAAGCTGGCTTCAGTGTGGGCAAATTCTCAATAGAGGATGATATGAACGTGTCCTTTATTCTCTCAAGTCAGTTTTCCTAAAAGCCTTGTAGCTGCAAATGCATCCAGTAATATTTTTGGTAGCGAAAAGAGCGGGTGGAATGTAGTGGGAGATGATTTTAACACTTTTTCAAAGCCAGAGTGATGGTACCATCTGTTAGAGCTCTAGGTTAATTAATCTTCTTGCTCAGGCAAGGAAGTGAGGTGATAATGAGGCTTTCAAATTTTACCATTGGTTATGACAGATAGACTTAGACGGAAAAAAAATAAGGAAAATATGTGGAAGATTTCCTCCCAACTTCCATAGTTAACATAAGACTGCATTTCCAAAAGATGCAACTGGCTAAAGACGTTTAATTTTGGAAATGCTCAAGCTGTTTCAGAAGCTGATTAAAAAAAGACTTTGAGACTCTAGAAAGTTCAGAGAAGAATAACAAAGATAAGGGGTCCGGAAGCTAAACCATAAAACAAAAAAATTGAGGGAATTAGGTGTGTCTAGTCTAACAAAGAGAAGGACTGTAGGGTGACATGATAGTGGTCTTCCAGTACTTCAGGGGCAGTCAGAAAGAGGATCAACCTATTATCCAAAGCACCTGTGGCCAGGACAAAAAGTAATGGGGGGAAGATCATTAAAGTGAGATCTAACTAGAATGAAGGAGAAATTTCCTGACAGTGAGAACAATTAATCAGTGGAATGGCTTGCCTCTAGAACAGAGGTGTCAAACTGCTGTCCGTGGGCCAGACGCATCATCCAGAAGCCGCGCCCACCCCATTGCTGGCAATGGCAAAACCATCCAAATACGTTGTGCGACATCACGTGACATCGCAAGTTTGACATGTCTGCTCTAGAAGTTGTGGATGCTCCATCACTGGAGGTTTTCAAAAAGAGATTGGGCAACCATTTGGCAAGAATTGTATTGGGTTTCCTTCTTGAGCAGAGGGTTGGACTAGAAAATCTCCAACGTCCCTTCCAACCCTATTATTCTATTTCTATAAATGTAAGGCTCAGTATGGTTTTGGTGGAATTCCTCTGAGTTAACTATGTATTAAATTACAATCATGGCCTGTAAATACAACTGGATGTGTGAAAATGGTTTGTCTTATTTGTTTTTGATTCCCATGTCTTTTATAACAAATAACGTTTGATTATAAATACAGTAATAGAAGAAGATAGTGGGGATTTAACTATAGAGTCTTCTTGAGATTTATGGCTGTGCAATCAGTCATAATAAGCTGCAGATCAGTATTTATGGCTCTACCACTACAAATAACAAAACAAAGGTAACATTCTTGGGCGCTAGGACAATGGTTCTTCCTTCCAAGAACAGAATACAAATAAACTCCGTAGGATCTCAAACTGATACAGATCATTCAGTTAACTGCCTTAAAAGCCTAGGCATCTTATCATTCAGCCTTTCCTAAATTGATCAGTGTCCTCAGAATGCCTGGAAACATTAGGAATGAGATTCTGGATTCGGCGGTCCAAGTATCAGACGATGCTTCCAAGCTTTATTTCACATGGTGTCCTTTCTGCTAGAAGTGGAATCCCAGGTTCCTATCTGCACTCTCCCTTTTTGCTGTGTCTCTCTTTTGGAAAAGGACCAATAATCCATCTCTCTATAGAAGATTTGCCTATAATGGATTTCCATTAAAGCCAGGATTGATGATGATCTTTCTAAATAGGTACAGAAAAGCCAGAATCACCAGATATGAGTTCTATTAAGAATTAACTCAAACCGTTCCAAACATAATTCAAATCTGATTTGCTTTTCTTAAAAGCAAATAAATAATGATAGGAAGCTACGACTACTTGCAACTGATAATCAAATTACAGGCATGTAACTGTCAGCATTTCATTCAAGGAAATATTGCCTTTCTGTGAAGATATGAGATGAGTCTGCTGTCAAATGTGGAACATGCTATGATACACTTAGAAAAATAAGAAATGGCCTTATACCAGTGGTGGCAAACCTATGGCACGGGTGCCAGAGGCGGCACTCAGAGCCCTCTCTGTGGGCACGTGCACCGTCGCCCCAGTCCTAGGCCTTCAGCTAGGTTTTATAAAACCTTTTCGCTTTAGGCCTCCCTTCCATGTACAAAAAAAAAAAGGTTCAATCAATCAATGTCAATTTCTCTTGGGAGGGGGAAAAAAAGATCTTGCAAAGTTGGAATTGATTGATTGAACTTTTTAGTCCCACCCAGTCTGCTGTTACCACTGCAGCCACGCCCACCCAATGGGCCACACCCACCCAATGGGACACACCCACCTGGCACCTGACGATGCATAAGTGGGTTTTGGGTTGTAGTTTGGGCACTCGGTCTCTAAAAGGTTCATCATCACTGCCTTATACTAATTGTACATTAGTCTAATAGTGTCAACTCTGACCATATTAGTTTTCAAGAACTTCGGTCATAGTAGCCATTCATATCACATCACTTGCTGCTTGAGACTTGTTTTGGTGATGGGGATGTGGTGGGGATTTATATGATGATTATTTCTAATCAACATCTGTGCAGGCTGGTTTCATAAGTCTCTGAAACAGTCCTTAGTTATACCTATTCTACTCTCTGCAGCACACTGCCCTCTAGTGGTCACTCTTGTTCCACAACATAATGGAGGCATACCAGAAATGAGTGTTTGAAATAAGGGAGTAGAATCAGGGTATATTTAGTGAACCATAAAAAATACTAATGTGGAGACATGTCCAGGATTTTAAAAAGCCTCAAAAGAAATAGAATAGGATAATATTCTGAAGAAGAACTGAAGTCAGCTTCCTCCTCCAAAATAACATTTGGATCACCGGGTTATGTAATTTCTCTGCCATCAGATCTAGAATGGATGACAAGTAATCTGGGGGTTGCTATGGAATTAAACAATGAACATGTAAATACTCTGGTATACCAGAAACCCAATGATAGTTGCAGATGCTTATCTGTTTCTTCTTCCCCTTGAGCACAGCTTGTCTGCTCTGCCATCAAGTTGTATAATGCAATCTTGTGTATTGTGACCCTTTAGGACATTCAGAACTGCAATTTTATACCCATTCATTTGAGATTAAAGCTTGAATTCAACAAACTACAAACTATAAAAGACATAAAACTCATATCTCAGGGGCTGCCACAAAGAAGAAGGAGTCAAGCTATTCTTCAAAGCACCTGAAGGCAGGAAACAACGGATGGAAACTAATCAAGGAGAGAAGCAACCTAGAACTAAGGAGAAACTTCCTGA